GGATTTTTAGAAAATCCGGAAGACTTTTTCGGGTTTCGGAGGTTGTTAGTTGCCTGGAAAACCAATAAAGGCTTAATTGAAAAATCGGCGCCGGTCAGTCGATGTAGTTACGTGTCTAGTTTAAAATAAAACAAACCCAAATTCTCCAGCTTGAAGTATATTAAAAAATCTTGGGACGCCGTTCAGGGTCCAGAAATACGTTTGTTTGTGACTTTTCAATGTTCGATAGCGACACGTTTTCCGAACTCGAATACAGCGTAAATAATAAATGTGTTTATATCCGTCTGCCTATATTTTTCAAAACGTGACAGCACTTACTGTTCGTCAAAAATCTCACTTGAAGGTCGATTGTGGTACAGAGATCAGAACGGGCACTCCACCCAATTCGGCCGAAAACATGATTTCCACACTTCGCTAATTCTTGTGTTTATATCTTTCGAACAGAGAAAGGCCAGGAAGATATACCAGCAAAACAGAGACACATCGTTAAAGCAAAAGGGAATTTTTTAGAATAGTGTTGAATATTTTCGTAATATTTCTATAACCACAAGTCTTAGAAAGCACTTAATTTTGTTAAGTACACTTTTCGTCGCAAAATCAGACAATCGCGATTTCCTGACCTTCTGTTCGCAGACAAGAAAATAGCGAAAAAAGTGTCTGGATTACGTTTTTCGACCGAGTTACATGGAATGCCCGAAAAGTTTTCTAAAAACTCTGAAGACCGCTAAGTGTCAAATATTACTCGCACCTTTTGTTACACACGGTAAACAACTCGATGAACCCTCTCGAAGCTTCTAAAACTGGGTTCAAGCTTATATGCAATTTTTCACAGTTGATTATCTGTTTTGCTACATTTCCTTCACTAGTTGTTCAATTCTACCTATGCCTACAGTGAAACTTTGTGTTTAGATAATTTTCTGATTGCTATTAATCACAAAGCGTAAGTGGCTCCCTTTATTTGATTAAAGTTATTTCCAAATTAATTAGAGAGCTATGTATATTATACAGTGACATCTGGCTTTGTAACCAGTTCTCTTTGACGTAAGTGCATCAATGCTTATTCTCTATTGTTTATTTATTTCTTTGATTTGTCTGTCCATGGATCACCTTATGGCCATTTTTTCATGTTTTGCGAACACAAACACTACATTAATTTTCTAGACCTATTTCTTTCACAGTCAAAGATATATAGGGGAAATTTGAAAATATGTCTTTATCTCTATATCGAAGTTACTTTTCAAGTCATGTGCTAAGGTCTATTATCAAAAATTCTAGTCTTTTTCGATTTTCTTCAAATACCAGCTCTCGTAATACGTTCTCTGAACGTAAACGTATTTTTAAGCAAGTGAATATTGCTGAGTCATCAGCAAATGACAATCGTTTATCTTACGAAATACTGCTAGATAAAAAAAAATTAAAAACTCCATCGGGTACTATTATGAACATTGAGAATGAACTATTAGCATTAGCTGTCGCACAAGAATGGAATCAACAAAAAACAACGATTGACTTACCATCGATGCATTTGACATCGTTAGTAAATACCATCATTGATAATCCAAATAAAGTGACAAAATCGAAGTTAATTGAACAAATCATGTTTTTTCTCGAATGGGATACAGTTCTTCACCGTTCAGAAAATCCAGAAGAATTAAAACAATTGGAATCGAATGCATGGAATCCAATACTTCAGTATATTAATGAACAATATGGCACCCAGTTTAGTCCTACCTATCACTTGGATATCAAACAAGTTGTGAGTGATCATGATAGACAAGTCATTGAAAAATATTTGAACCAGTTAGACGAACAATCCTTGTTAACGTTTATGTACATGTCTGAATTGTCAAAATCGATATTATTAAGCATATGTCTTTTGAGACGATTCAGAACGATTGATGAAACAGTGACACTATCACGTTTAGAAACAGAATATCAAATTACACATTGGTCAAATGTGCCCTATTATCACGATTATGAACTCATGGACTTACGTTCAAAACTTTCAGCTGCATATCTAGTTTTCTATTGTTTAAACAATAATATAACAAGAAAAGTAGTAGGAAAAATCAAAAGTTGAATCAACCTTTTTACATTGTTTTTTTTTATCAAAGTTAATAATACTACGCCAAAAAACTCTTCTTTTCTTACAGTTATGACGAAAAGAGTTCGTACATTTAAGACGTGCATTAGCAACCACTTAACGCTTTATCTCATTTTTGTTGCTACAACTTGACGTGTAAACATAGTTCCGAAAATTAGCATTCTATATACTCAATTACTTCGAGTTTCGAGTTTATTAAAATCATATTTTGAGAGTCTTTATTCACTCTTACTATTAGAAAGACTGCTACATATTTAAAAACATTTCGCCTACGTTTTTGGTTTTAGTTTATCATAGGTATTTTCCTAAATCTAAGCCTTACTGCAAATCCTTTTCTACATCATTATCATATTGATTATTTCAGATACATTTATTCATTCTCGATGGTTAACAACGATCAAAAAGCAAATGATATGTTAGTGTCTTACGATGAAAGGTATGTAGTATCATGTGTTTTTAAATCTTGTCTTTTTGCTTATGTATTGTCGGTCTTTTCTAGTGATTCGGAATCCAGTTCCGAAACAAAACGAAAAACACACAAGAAACATAAAAAGTCACATAAACATCATAAGAAAGATAAAGAACAAAAACATAAGAAGAAAAAACACTCACATCATCGTCATAAATCAGATCAGGAGGAAACACAACGAGTGGTATCATCAGACGTAGTCCAAGAAGAAAATCGACAACAGAAACGAAAAAAATCTCCATCTTCAAGTAATGAGACGAAAAACAAGAAAATTCTAATTGAAGAAAACAATTTGTCATCAACCAAACAGTTGAAATCACTAAATGTACGTACAAACATTATTCTCTTGTACTGCTCTCTTTTAACCGATGATATTCTCATAACACTGTTATGTATCATGCCTTCTTACTGATTATACCGACCTGAATGCGTTTTTCTTATTTAGATTAATGAAGACACTGATTCAACAGCTGCTAAAAATATCAAAAATTCTTCTTTGCCAATAAAGAAGCCTAAAACGGAAATAACGACAACTACGATTACGTCCAGTTCAAAAGTATCAATCTCAAGTATTCCGCGACCGAAGAAACATTCGATAACAAATGGTCATCACACAAAGAAAACGCCTCGTTTATCAACGGATCGTGAAAGTTTAGAAGAAGGTGAACATCCAACGTCCGATATTGATACTGATACTGAATTAGAAACAACTGATGGTACCAACAAAGATCGAAAAAAAACTAAAACAAAAAATAGACGAAGTATATCTGTTGAACGAAAACTGCGTACACCACCGTTATCACATCCACCAGTTTTGGATTCTCGACATCATCGTTCCCATCGAAGTCGAACACCTCCACCAGCCGTTTCCTCACGTTATTATTCACAACAACGGTCAACGGATCATCGCGGCGATAGAGATTCGAGATATTATCATTCGAGACGTCATTCTCCGCCATCTTCGCGTCATCGTCATGAAGAGTATGATAGAGAAAGAGGTATGTGTCAGTAATTTTTGGACTACTGGATTTACACTTGTGTATTTTTAATTGTCAAATTTAATCATCGCAATCACTCAGATCAGTCCAAGTATACAGGAGTTGAATTTTTCTATAAATATAAGACAGTTATAAAATAGATTTATCAATTTATATTGTTTTTTCAGGTAGAGGACATCGGCAGTCTTCTCCGACATCACTGTCTGATAGAAAGAGAACCGATAGGTAAGTAACATTTATTCTTTTAATATTTTTTTCATATTTGCGGAAATGAGCAGTGGTATCACTAAAGTTTCTGTTTTTTTTTGTTCAGCAAACACGATCATGCGGATTCAACAAAGCATACGCATAATAAAAACAGTAGAAATCATGCCAATAATACGACAAGCGACGAAGAGTAAGCATTATAAGAATTTTTTGATCTGCTAATAAAAAATATATTCTTGTTTTTTCTTTTAAAAGACATCTTGATTTTGAAATTCCAGAAGATGAAGAAGATGAAGATGAAAAGATTCGTAAACAACGAGAACGTCGTGAACAATTGAAAAAGGTTAATATCCAATTCTCACTAACTTATTCATATTTAAATGACTTGAAATTTGTTTAGGAATTGGCGCAAAAAGCTTTTGCTGACGAATCTTCAATGGATAGTACTATTCAGCAACAATTACCAATTGTTGCTGCTGCTGCTTCTCCGCTCAATCCTAATGTTATTACTAAGCAGCAAGTTGTGGCTAATGAGTATGCTGTGCCTGCAGGCACTTCTAAAGCAAATATTGATGAGGATGATGACGATGTTGCGTTTGTTGAGAATTGTCTAGATGATGTTGTGGATTTTGAAGAAATAGCACGTGATAAACGAAATGCAGTACAAGAACGTAAGTAATTTATTTTTCATATTTAAATTCGAACATATATAGAATATGTTCGTATTTTAGAACTCAGCGGGAATACTAATATAACAAGCAATGATGCAAATTCACCATCAATAGTACAAGAACTAAGAGATGAAGAAATGGAACGAAAAAAAACAACAAATAACTATGACATGTTTGCCGATGATAACTTGTATCAAGAGACAAATGTGAGTAGTAGTAAACATTAATTTTGATTTGATATGGCATTTTGTTGGTTATTTTCTTTGGTTTTAGAGTCCCGGTGCTTGGAGACGAATAGGGATAATCCCCGGCCCAGATAATCCACATTTAACAGACAATTGGGATGATGCCGAAGGATATTACCGTAAGTATTGACAAAAGTATTTTCGTCTTTTCATTTCATTCATTAATTAGTTGGCTATAATTGTAGGTGTTCATATTGGTGAAATATTGAATGATCGATATAATGTTTATGGTTATACCGGTCAAGGTGTATTTTCAAATGTTGTACGTGCACGCGATGAATTGCTTGGGAAAAATACTGAAGTAGCAATCAAAATAATCCGCAATAATGAACTCATGTAACGTATACTAGTTGATTGGGTCAACTTTTAGTAGAATAAAGTTGTAACCAAAGTAGAGTTTGCATAAAATTCTTTTGTATTCTCTTTAGGCAAAAAACTGGCTGGAAAGAATTAGAATATCTTCGTAAATTGAACGAAAGTGATCCCGAAGATAGATATCATTGCTTAAGATTATTGCGACATTTTGAACATAAAAAGCATTTGTGTTTGGTTTTTGAACCGTTAAGGTAGGTGTCACTAGTTTATTCAACTCTACTCAAATGACAACATATTTTATTTGCTTAGTATGAATTTACGTGAAGTATTGAAAAAATACGGTAAAGATGTTGGTTTACATATCAAAGCCGTGCGTTCCTATACTCAACAACTTTTGATGGCACTGAAACATTTAAAAAAATGTAACATATTACATGCTGATATTAAACCAGACAATATTCTTGTGAGTACTTTGTGACGAACTTAAGCGTACTGGAATAGTCATCATTAATACTTATTTTAGGTCAATGAGTCAAAATTATATCTAAAACTGTGTGACTTTGGTTCAGCGTCCTTTGCATCTGACTGTGAAATAACGCCATATTTAGTGAGCAGATTTTATCGGGCACCAGAAATCAGTAAGTATGCGCTACTCAAATCATATGAGCTCAGTTAGCGTGACCGATGAAAAATTCTCGCCATGTGATCAATCGCTTTTTCTCGGAGTATATTTTACTAGAGGCAACCGTTGATTCTCATCACAAATTTGACATCCGTCTGTATCCATTGTCACTTTTTGGATATATAAACCGTCTTTCAAGGAAACTTATCTTTTTCTACATGAGTAACTCGATTTGTCCTACGATCTGGCAGTATCTTCATGTATTCCATTGACAGCTCATTATGTTTCTCGCAAGATTCAGTTTATGTAACCTCATCCAGGAAGAGCCTGTGCGTACAAATGACCATCCGATTCGTGAGTCTGCATTAAAAATTGCACCTGATGTAGTATGTTCCGAGGAAAAGCGATTGATCACTAGCCCAGGTTTCCACATGAGTGGAAAACTATTAGGCAACTACCACCTCTTTTAAGATTACTTGCCTATGACTGAAGAGTATTATGACTGGTATCGCCTGCTATCGTCCTTTCTTTTTCTTCTAGTATTGGGTATGCAATATGATTTTGCCCTTGATCTATGGTCTGTTGGCCTTACGATTTATGAGTTATATACGGGAAAAGTGATGTTTCCTGGTAAAACAAATAATGAAATGTTAAAATTAATGATGGAATTTAAAGGCAAAGTACCGAATCGTATTATACGCAAAGGTCAATTTAAAGATCAACATTTTGATGCTAATTGTAATTTTTTGTATCATGAAGTTGATAAAGTAACACAACGAGTAAGTGTGCAACAAACTATCTCATCATATCGTTACATAACTTTTGATTGGTATTATTGTAGGACAAAATTACCTGTATATCAAATGTGAATCCATCAAGAGATTTATTATCGTCATTAGTTGGTATGCAACGTTTGCCAGATGATCAAATGAAAAAAGTTGTGCAATTACGAGATTTATTAGATAGAATATTGCTATTTGATAAACAAAAACGTCTTAGTATTAAACAAGCATTAGAACATCCATTTATACAAGATAAAATTTGATAATAAATACGTAGGATGATTTTTCTTCTTTTTCCTTGATACAGATTTACATTATTTTCTTCTTGTTCCAAAAAAATTATCAAGTTTTTGTCTTTTTTTTTCTTTGTTCGTATTTTTCTCATTGTTGTATATCTAAAACAACAACTCTTTTGTTGTTTTTCGTTTTTCGCTTCTCTATTGTTATTGTATAAGCCAGACATGTGTATGTTCTTGGTGTGTTTAATATGTGATTTCTTCTATTTTAAGGTTCAAACACATTTGGTATGTCTTTATGTCTAACGAAGATGAATATACACACACACACACATATATATATAATTCCAATTCATTCATAACAAACGTGTAATGATTAAATGAAAAAACAAATTTTTTTTTTGTACATTAGTATCAGTATTATTGTTCGCTGCCATTTCATCATCTAATGATAGTTAGGAGCATGTAGTAGCAGAAGTCACAGTTACTTCGACAGTTTTTTCATCCTTATATGATCGCGATGTGTATAAGTTAAAGAAAATAACTAAACTATAAACTCAAAGATTTTCTATCAGCTGGTACCGACTTATTTGAGTTTAGAAAGACAAAAATAGTTTTTTATAAAAGTAACACTGCAGATGTATTCGCATACTTGATTATGAATAGGTCGTACTAAGCAATCTTAGTAGAGGTTCCATGTAGCACAAAGAGCGGAAAGCTATTTGTATAATCTTTATGTTTCTGACTTGTTTCTAAGCTTACTTGGAATTGTTAAACCATTAATGCGACAGGTTTCCTTTTTTCTGATAGATTTTCTAGTCTCAAAAAGAAAGAGCGTATCTAGACTTACCTTTACTGGAAAGCCGTCTCGAGCATTTGTGAAAGTTTTAATCAAGCAACGTAACTAAACCTTGTAGTTTAATGAATGTCTATAGGATGTTGACATCTTGAACTTCGCTGTAGTAGTATGAACCATTTTTTGCCTTCCTCCTAGAGCCCTTTTTCATTCCCAGAACTTGCTCAGGCCGAGAGATGTTTTAGATTCAAGATTGTAGGTATTCATTGTTATTTTTGTTGTTTTAGCCATTGTTTTCTATTACTATCGATTATTTTTTATTTATATTTGCAGCTGCTTTTGTTGAATCCGCAACCTGTATTCAACACGTTTATGGTTTATAAAAATTAACACATACGTACATAGATAAGGTTCGAAAAAAAAAGAATAAACATCGAGCGGTTTGATGAGTATTCTACCATATTCGAATGTTTGCATGAGAAAAATGAAGAGTTAGGGATGATACTCGAGTCCAACAAAATGTACTTTTTTTCTCGCTGTTTTCTTTCTAATTGTTTAGAGAGTTGTGTTGTGTTTACCTGATGAAAAATTAGTTTGTTGTGTGATTTAATGTAAACACCAAACTTACTATAAAATATTGGAGTGGAAAATGTTGATGTCAGCAAACAAGTATTGTATATTTTGTTCATTCGAACATAAAACGACGTAATATTATATATTATATTTCAGTTATTAGGAAAAGATATTTTCTCCAGTTTACAAGCATGAGTACAAACACGATGATGATATTGATTTCACGAACAATATGTCAAGATGAAACTTTAAAATAATTTTCTACTGGTTTTTCTTTTTTTGTACAAAGACATTTTTATATGTAATAAATTCACTAACTATTGTGATAATTTCTATTTACTGCTAGAAACAAAGATGTACGTTTATGGGTAGTGGAGAATACTTTTCTATTAAGCCTCTATCAACATAAATGTTCTTGTTTACTTTCAGATAAAGTAATGTATTCGATCGTTGAACAGCTGTTCTTGAACCGGTCAATAAATCTTTATTAGAAATATTTCATTAGTTTTCATCATACTCCTTATTTTATTTTTCTGCAATTTAAGACTGAAGAACGTTGTTGTTCATGAATATCAGTGGATTTTTTACTATCTCTAATGTTATATTACTAAAAATGACTGTAACATCATTTCTCTACTGTCAAAACATCTTATCAACTAAAGAAAACATCCAATGATTATGCTTAAATTGTCGAATTGTGTGAGACAGTTGGCCCCTGCACTGTTCGAATCAAAATGCAACATCAGAGACTTTTATAATCTTTTTTTTAACGTTATTTGGACCAAATAAGTTGATGGTTACAAATTAAATTGACAATGTTGCATACCAAACTCGATTCTACCATGATCATTCATATACACACAATTTTCAATCAAACAGCTTAGTTAAAGGAGGCCTACATCGAAAAACATAACTAGATATTACAGAAGATGGAACATCTCCATTTGGAGATCTGAATCGAAAGTTAATCTATATGAAACTTTTATTTTACTATTACCATTCATTAATGAAATAGAGCTGAATCTCTTACAGCTATTATTCTAATGTCTTTTAATCGTCACTTACCGTATGAAATATTGAATACCATTCAATAAGTCATTTAAACTTTTCTTCTTAGCTCAACTTAACTAAACTGCACGGCTTGATCAGCTAACTCCGCTACCAGCGTGAAATTTCATAATATTTTCTTTTGCATGTTGTTACTTATAATTTTTGAATGACGAGATACCCATAGCTCTGGAATATTTCAAAGTAAAGAGAAAAGTGTGCTGAAGATTTTAAGATGTACATACATTCGATACGATCTTTTGCTGAGAAAATATAATAAAAATACAAATACTTACTACAGAGTTTTGAGTATCTGGTCGTTCGAAAATTATAAGAGTAACAAAATGAAAAACAAAATTTCACTCTGATAGGGGTGTTAGTCGACCAAGCCATACAATAGTAGTATCACATCTTCAATCTTAACGCTCATTTCTATATTCTTCCGGGTAACCTTAGAATCTTTTCAGAAAAAAGTGTTGAAAAATCTAAAAACAATCTTGCATAATTTTAATAAATCGTTTATTTATTATATGTTTGTTGAAAGTATTTATATAACAAGGATGAAATAAAAGAAAAGAATATTATTATTCCAACGTTAGTTTACTCTGGGAGAATGTCCAGGAAACAAGTCTTCCAAAGTCAAGGAGAAAGTCTTTTTCGCGACCATTACAAAGATATCTCTTTATCCAGCATTGTATCTATTTTTATTGGCACATTCACTTTTGTTGCTAGAACAGAAGATTTTAAAAAAGTCTATTTTTCCAACTGGCGTTAGTACTTCATCCATCGCTTCTTTATCACTTTCATGAATGTATAAGTTCACAGCCATAATTCGCTGGAAGCATTACTCTCTGCTGTGATTTTCAAATGCTTCATTCGCTTTCAAAAGCAGAAACACCTAGTTTAAAGTACTCTCATTTGGCTAAATTCAAGTGATTCTCTTCGAATTTTTTGAAGAACATACATTTTTTCGCTTTGGATTTTTAAATGAATGCGTATTCTTTCTGCATTGGAAATTTAGAAGTGTATTTTTTTTCTTTTCTCTTTCTGGTCTTTTTCCTTAGATCAACATTTCCTCTAATATCATGATATGTCAGATTGTTTTTTGTTCAGATTAACAAAAGTTTGCCACATAGACGTTGAAAATTTCCAGGGAGAAAGGAGAAAACTTTCAGAGAAGCAATCCCATCCGTTCCCTCCTCTGATCGTATGCACTGCCGGTATATACAATTGTTGATAATTATCATCAATTGTAATCGTTTCACTTGTAAAAATTAAAAAATAAATTTAAGTGTGCAATCCATTTAATATTGATGTACACGCAGTATATGCAAATAGGAAAATCATTTATAAAAGATCTGTCAGAGTGAAAACGAAATACTCTGCTCACAGGTTGAGTAAAGAACTAATAAAAATATTAACATAATATCAGTTTTTATAATCAAATCAAATCATTTGATATATTTTATGTAGGCATGCAACGGTTATTTTATCGGGGCTCTCGGAAATAGTAGTTTTAAAAATCGGAGAAATCGTTCAAAACTTTTCCAAGCCGACAGTTTTATGCAGACGTGTTTGCTCTATCAAATAAGATGTTGCAGGCCTTCTGACGATGATTCGTAGATGAGATACAAAGCTTTTTGTTAAAAAAGAAACTGGTTATTAACCGGCGATTAACGACCGGTTATAACCGGTCCTATTTTAGCGAAAAAAAACTAATATCTCATCTACGAATCATCGTGAGGAGGCCTGCAACATCTTATTTGATAGAGCAAACATATCTGCATAAAACTGTCGACTTGAAAAAGTTTTGAAAGATTTCTTCGATTTTTAAAACTACTACTCCCGAGAGCTCCGATAAAATAATCATTGCATGCCTAATTTTATGATGTTGTTCGTCTAGGTTTCTAAACTGTCACTGTTCAGTTTTTCTTAGTTTAGATGCAAAAACGATGACTTCATTGTAGCTAATGATCATGGCTGTAACTTTCCTTTGCATCCCAACGATATTTTTCACAGTGAATCAAAACTTTGGATACATTTTTAGAAACTTATTTTTCTTTTTTCTGTTTATTCATTTTGTTCTAGAATAACTACCAGTATGACACTATGGCAAACAACTGTTCCATTTTGAAAACAGATAGAACATTAGAATAAATCAGTTTTTTGTTACTAATTATACAAATTCTGTCGATAATTTTACTATGAACTAAGTTAATAAATTCTATTTTTTTAATCTACATTTAACTTTTTCGTACAAGATTGCTTTTTTTATTGACATAATTTTGTTTCAGATAACGAAATGTCAACAAATTTTCATTTACGTACTAAATGATTTTTTATTTCATTTTATTTTGGCCAGTATGTTAATTTATAGTTATATGAATGGATAGTTATTTACCATTTTCAATTTGTACATTTAGATTTCAACCTTGTTATGTCACAAAATATGTTCAAGAGAATCGAGTCGCCTGGTTAGAGAATATTTTACAAAGGTAAATATATTCTATACTCATCATTTTAGAGTTTCACTAATTGGTCTACTTTATTTAAATAAATATTAAAAACTAACTATTTGCTTAATTTTTAGGCATTAGTTCCACTCTACGAAAAAGAGCATGCGGGTGTTCCATACGAATGTGATTTGTCGCCAATGCGTGATCTCTATTATCGACACGAATTATCGAAAAAGAAAGTGGCAAATGAAAGATGGAAATGTAAATTAAAAACTTTTAAAGATGACTGTTTATTATCAATCTAAAAAATATACTTTCAGGTGGATTTTGTAATAAAACATTCTATACTGAACAGTATCTTGATTTACATTTTACAAATCGTCATAATAATACATTATTTAAGGTAATATAAAACTCTAAACAGATTAATGACATTAGACATGATTGTTTTTCTTTTTCAATAGGGTGAAAAACCAGTTTGTTTAGCCGATCTTTGTCATATATTTCGCTGTGATGTATTACGTCAAACATCTTCGATATTATTTTCCAATTCATTAATACATAAAAATCGACGATTAAATGAAAAACAGCTGTCTGTTTTAAGATCAAAGTGTATCGTAAGTTCAAATTCTAATGAATAGATCGAAAATTTTAAGACAAAATGTTTAACTGTATATCTTTAATCTAAAAATGTTTGAAAAGAATATAAATTCGTATTATTAGGATGAGAATTTTACATTCTTTTCGAATCTATGTTCAAAGATTTTCTGTCGCTTTTCTATGAGACGAAATAGGCATAATACCGCATAAAATGTAGGATTTAGTCAAATGTTTGTTATCTGGCATTCTCTACATGCTTTAAATTGTTTAAGCATCCTATTTTGTAGAAAAATGTTTACTCTGCAATCCTAGATAATTGAAATATATGTAAAAGTACTCTACAAACGTCGTCATACAAATCGAGTTTTTCTGTTCAAAAAAAATTTTTGAGCTTTTTAGTATTATGCCTATTTCGTCTCATTAGAAAATTTTTGCATATAGATTCGAAATGAGCGTAAAATTCTCATTCTATTAATACTCATTTATATTCTTTTTAAACATTTTTAGATTAAAGATTGACAGTTAAACATTTTTCTCAAAACTTTTGATCTACCCGTTAGGATTACATTTGAAATTGTTGACTGTTATTTTTTTTTTAGTCATTATTAAATCAATGCGTTCCAAAAGATTTACAATATGATACGTTAATGAAATTACAAAGTAAGTGATCTATTCACATGATTTATAATTAAAACATAGTTTCAACATATAACTTACACATGTTTATAGCTCAAATGCGCCAAGCTGTATGTAGTTATTTGACATTGGATAGATACAGTGAATTACCACCATACAAAGTAATATTAGAGTCTATTAATAGAAAGAATAACTTTGTATTTATAATGCATCTTGAATTTAGAAAAGTTTAATTAGTTTTACAAGTGTTTTTTGTTTGGTTATTATTATTGGCATGTGTCTTGTTACATACGGTGTACTCACACATTCCGATTGGCTGTAAGTATCTTTAGTAATAATTTTTTTTTTAAAATAGTTATCCTTAACAGAACATATGTTTGCGAAACAAATGCAAGTGACTTAGTATTTAAAATAATTCAAAAAATAGAAGTAACAGAGAGAGTATCAACATAAATTCCTTTTATCATTTTACAGGTGAAATCTAGTTAATGAAGAATCGTTTTATTTATAGTCGAATATCTTTGTAATTTATAGTATCTGAAAGTTTTTAGGTTCATCAATGTTCTTTTCTTTTTATCCCTTTTGAATTGTATTTGTTTCTATGTTTTTTGGTTTTTATTTCAGTTGTGATGAAAATCAGTTTAATTCCTCGTTGCCTAAACAGAAATCTCAAGTTGAAAGATTACCATCAATCACACCAACAACTATCAGTACTTCAAATACTATAGTTAGTACCAAAATGCCGTCAAATGTTCGCCAACGTGTACGGTTTAAAACCGATAATGAAGCAAATCATCATCATGATCATGCACACGATCATCATCATAATTAATATTTTTATTGTTTGTTGTTTTTATCAATGTCTTTCTTTTTAATATACAATAATTTTTCTAGTCTAAAAGTCAAAAGATTATATCTAGTCTCTATTTTAAAAATTTATCTTTTTTTTCTTTATTATGTACTTTATATGTTGTCAACTACTTGTTGTCATAAATATTTTATCTTTATATTGTCTAAATATATTTTTTATGTTGTTATTGTTGTTGTTATTATTATATTGTAACATGTGAAAGAAATTGAAGAATACTTCAGTGCAATTTATTATATAAAAACTATACAAAGTGATATATTTTCGAGACAGTTACACTTCTTTGTAAAGAACCGCTCTGCATTATGTGATTAGTTTTGTATAATAATGCTGTGTCATCATTCGCATACAGAACATATATAGAGAAATTAGCGTCCTGCAAACTAAGTTGTCACTTATCATGCAATGAAACTATTATAAAATATTATCTATCTTTAATAATATATCATCTCAAAATTCGATAGATCGAACTGTCCTTTTGGCTGTCGACATAAATCAACTATCCTAATGATGTTCATGTAAAGTCAACGAAAAGTTCTTTCTCAGTTATCAGAACACTCTAGGGTGTGAATCGTTTACTTGTGGCTATACTCTTTATTTCTGACTGTTTCCGGTCATCGTTTGCCACCTATCAGAACTTATCCTTTTACGAAAAATTCGACAAATCTTACTGCTTTCTTGTTCAAAATAAAATAATTAAATAAACAATTAACAACACGATTTACATTAGCTGCTGTATTAATATCTGAAAAACTCTGAATTTATTGTTCGTACATTGTAAAGATGTTTCAGTCATATTATACACTTTTTTTATAATTCAAAATATCTGTTTCTAATGGTAATAATCGGATCTTGATCATTTGTTACGAATAATTTTATTTTATTAATTTCATCCTTATTAATCTAAAGCCTCCCAATATAGTGAAACTACCATGAATTTTCTATTTATCTCAGTCGATCAAATCAGATGTTAGCCATCTATGTGGGGTGATATTCGCTTGGACACATTATTCATCACAACCAATGGACAGATCAAAAAAGCTATGTGCGTCAATATAGATAATAAACCTGAAATATGTATTATAGAATCATCTGAACAGTTATTAGCGGGTGATCCAGAGAAAATTGCTGGCTTTTTCCAAGGGGTTTTCTCAAGCTAAATTTCCTCAAGAAGTTTCGTTGTGGTATTAAAAGAAGGAAGATAAGAAGATTTTGTATAGATTTTATTCCTGTTCTTTTCCAAATAAGCATTTGCCCATTTTTCGTAGTAATAAAAGTCCTAAAAACCGGAAAAAATTGAATTGTTCAAACATACGCTCAGAAAATTTTCAAACTACTATCCGTTCATAAAAAGAATGATTCCCGGTATTTTTTGAATAATTTTTTAACGGAAAGATTTAGAAAGATATGAATTTCACTATTGGATAGAGGAGCTGATGGGAAATGAAACTATGAAAAAATCTGGGCTCCAGATAAGGCTTTACCATGGTAAACCTTTCAACACAAAGTCCGGTAGCTGGCCACTTGTAGAGAAAAAAGGAATTTTTAATTATGAGGTACTATACGTTATCGACATCGCTGATCATCGTGGTAGTGTTTGTTTTCTTCCTCAGATCACAGAAAGTTCAGCTGAGTCAATTTTTTCAAAATCTACTTTTTCTCCTATGTCCATATAAAATTAAAGTATTCATAGCTAAATCATTTCTCATCCAAACAAAATTAAATTTTCAGGAAATATTCAAAACAAGTGATGAATTATAGATCAGGCCTTTTTATGAACGGATAGTAATTTTTAATTTAATCAAGGTAGTTCGAAAATTTGGTTCTCGTGATAAAAAGTAGAGGATTTTTTCGTATGTTTAGTAGTGTATTTTTAATCTCACATGTTTATGTCTGTTTGCAACAGCCGAAATATGAGAAGAGACATTTCGAGTCAATATGATAGGAATTTTGTTGCAGCTCTTCTCAAAAGTATGACTGGGAAAAGTTATTTTTTTGCATTACAAAAGATGTACGATTTTTATTATATAAAATACCTTTCTTTCCAATGATTTTGACTCATTTTGATAACAAGTAGTTAACTTATAGTGCCTTTAAGGATGGAGTGAGGCAAGAATAGCTGATAAAAGGACATGTATTTTAAATGATTTTCATTATCACAATACATTGTCTGAAAATTTCGTTTTGTAATAGGAACACTTAAAAATTTCATCTACTTTTTAGTGTCGTCTTTGGATCGCGCAACGAAACTATTGAACATTTCAATCTAATTGAGCACTGTGTAAAGCAATCCCCTTACGACTTCTAATATTTTTATTGCTACAAAAAATGGGCAAATGCTTATTTGGAAAAGAACACGAATAAAAGCTCCATAAAATATTCTGTCTTTTAATACCACAACGAAAATTTTTGAGGAAATTTAGCTTGAGAAAACCCCTTGGAAAAAAGCCAACAGTTTTCTCTGGACTACCCGTTATTAGTGACTCCTGCAGTAACAAATCAATCTCTTCGTGATTGTCAAATAGAAACGAACTTTGTCAAATGAAGCTACTCTCTCTCATCTCATATGTAACAGTGTTTTTATTTTATTTTTTGTTATGGACAATATCATTGATACTGACGATAAGATAAATTATTACCATTTAAGATAACTATATCACCTATTTTTAACCTGATATGATTACATACACCATCATCATCATTTATTGAATGTGTTTATTTATGGTCGACAGAAAGATATTATGAATGTATTTAATTTGAATTCAATGATTATTAAGTTTGTCAAACTGTCACGCACAAATCGTATTATGATCTATTTAACTTACCTCTAATAAGACAAATGATAAAGATCATTTACATTTGGTTAATATAAAAAATATTTAAGAAAATTGACAATTTATATGCGAATATATGTAAACTAAGTTTCAGTCTGATTGTTAATTGATTCAAATACTAGTATTAAACGATAATAAACATGATAACAAGAACTATAATGATCAACTGATGAAATGTATGCATGTGTCTAATCAAAGACACTGACAATGAGCAATCAACAGCAATTCACTGGTGATAGTGAGAATGAAAAACGACGTATGACTGATAAATAATTTAGTGAATCATAAAAATAGAACATGGTGAAACAACCTCATACAGATAATTTGACCACTAGTCAATATTCATTAAGAAAAAAGACAATATCATTAAGACATTAAACACAATATTTTGTCATCTACAGTTTTGTTCAGTTTTTTATTTTATTTGTTTGTAAAAAGTGATTAGAAAATTTTTAGTTTTGTGCATTTTTTTAGAAATGAACGTAACGTCTAAGATGGAATTCTTGATTCGTCCAACCCAAAATTCGTTCATTATTTTGTTGAATTACTATGTTGTAAGCGTTATTTGTTAATTCTACTGTATTAAAAAGGAAAAAAGCGAAAAATCTTGGATATGCGGTCAGCATGTTTTCCTTTCGCGTGTATAATATACCACATAGTTACTGCGCATCTTCAAGTCTCTAAGAAGGAGAAACAAGTATTGTTATTTGCAGGCTGCCAATACGCAAATGATAAAATGATGAATACGACAATATCCAAGTAATGCGAAGATCCTCCTTGTCCGGATCGTTCTTTTCAATAGGGTTCAGCATTACTCATCGAGAAAACATCGTACAATCATTGAGTATGTGAGGGAAAATGTAAAATGGAGTGTTTAAGATGACGCATACAACGTTCATCCCAGCATTTAAAGAAAAATTTATCCTGAAGTACTCGATATACAAAGTTGTACAACAGTCTTCGGCTCAACTCATGACATTTACTCTAATTTTTCACAACATCAAACATTTAATCTCCATTTTTTTTTGTTAAATTACTTTCTATTTACTAAAAAAAATTCATGTTCTGTGTATGAAACTTTGTTTCATTAATTGAACAGTTATTGCTGTTAGACAAAATAAGAATTTAACAGAGCGAGAACAACACTTCTCGTTTTCGTCTGATGATTTCTGACCAAGTTCTTTGATTAATTCATCTATTTGATTTGAACGAATCTACCATTAATTAAATAAACAGACAACAGATTAGAAATCGTCTGTTCAAGAGTATGATAGTGGCCAAAGAAGCAATAGGACACTTTTCTGAAAAAGCTTATCGCTCCATTTCTCTTGCTAGAGATGTCTTGACTAGGTAGATACCAGGATAATTCTGTGTCTAAGAACAGTCTCGATGCATTTCCTTTGTCTTGAATATAACTACGTGATTTACGCGTGACTGATGGGCGAGTAGGTGCCTTGACCATAGCTAGTGCATTGTGTATTTTTGATGTATTAGTGATGTCTATCAAATGCATCTAAGCTATTTTTTTTCCAAACGCACCATGGATGCATTTTGAAGCCAGTCGAGTGGTTTATCAACCGTTTTAAATGTGTTTTAATGTATATTAATATTTACACAATCAGGATAATCAATTCAAATTAAAACAATGACAGATAATCTTAAATGTCTTAAAAAAAGAAATAATTTTTAACCAGAATTTTGGCATGCAACTTTATATACAGTCATAAATATTATATTCAGAATGTTAACATGAGATCATCAGGTTGTATATAACAAAAATATGTACAATTGGATTATGGTGTTGTTCATTCAGATAAAACAGACATACAATTAGCAATGATGGAAATAATTTCAAGTTTTTGTTAATAGTTTTGTCGTTATTTCATTAATAACAGTCCATGCATAGTCCACATGTTTAACTTCCGTTAAATATGAACATATAGCAAATCTTAAAATAAAACGTCCTTTAACCATTGATGGAACGAGATAAATACGTTTATCTTCATTCAATGATTTTAATAATTTTTCATTCAATTCATTTGAACCATTTTTCAAACAGAAACAAACGAGACCCAATGTTGTTGATGGAAATACAATTTCAAAACGTTTATCATTTTCAATGTAATTTATAAATAATTTTGCCAATTCAATATGTTTTCTTATATATTTACGAATTCCACTAATTCCATGTATTCGAAATACAAACCATAATTTAAGTGAACGAAATCGTCTACCCAACGGTATTTGCCAATGTCGATAATCTGGTGCAACATTTTGATAATCATGTTTTAAATATAATGGATCAACGTTAAATGCATTTATGAAATATGTTCGATCTTTAACCCACATTGCTGAACAATCAAAATTAACCAACATCCATTTATGAGGATTAAAACTAAACGAATCCACATATTCAATACCATCGAACAGATAGCGATATTCGGGACATATGAATGCACTACCAGCATACGCCGCATCAATATGTAACCATATATTTTCGTCTTGACATACTTTACCTAAACCAGCAATGTCATCAAAGGCACACGTGGCAGTTGTACCCAATGTAGCTACCAAGAAAAATGGTATTAAATTCTTTGCTCGATCTTCAATAATTGCTTGTTTTAGTTGAGCAGCTTTCATGACACAATTATCATCTGATACAATTTTACGTATTTTACATCCAACAATCAAGGTCGCTTTGTCCACAGACGAGTGGGCTTGATCCGAACAATAAACAATTAACTGATCAAGTAGTTTGCCAAGTGTTATATTCGGATCTTTTTTCTGCATTTGACAAAATATTTTTGAACGTGCAGCTAATAAAGTGACTAATGTTGCTTCGCTAGCAGTACCTAGAATAAATAAGGTCTTCGATTATCAAAATGCAACAATAACTGCCATCTCTACAATTTCCTCTATGCGAAAAAAATACTGTGCAAAATTTACCATCTTCAGTCTGAAAAATAATGCGTCACAAAATTTGTGCTGCAAGGACAAGACAGAATATGTGCGGCAAACGAGTGCGGTCATATGTCATTATCCGATACCTATGGAGCGTAAGGCCACAAAGTGCCTGGAATACGGGCAAACTTTAACTTGCAAAATAGGACTCTTAAAGATTATTAAACAACATATGAAGACTCGGGCCATCTAACTTCGCAAAGAGCGACCTCTTTTTCTAAAAAAACACTAAAAATAGGCAAAAAAACGAAGTTTGCACTATTTTTACGATGTGACGCATGTGTCGGAAAATTATTTATCGCAGCTGTAACGTAAAAAATGTGTCGCAAATGTATTCCTGTGTCGCCGTTTGCAACACATGCAAAATATTATGTTTTAGAGTGTTTATTTGATGAACTTATCTTGAATGATACCACCACCATTTCCTGTTGACAAGAAAAATTCGGGTAGATCTAATGCTTGAGCTAACCAATCCATTACAATTACTTCTAGTTCTGTACATGATGGTGATGCAATCCATGAAAATCCAATGCAGGCGATACCTGCTGATAGGATATCCGCACAAACGGCAGCATATGAATTTCCTGTTGGAAAATAGGCATAAAAATGAGGACTATGCCAATGTGTTACACCTCGCATTATTGTTGATTCTAAATCATTAATTATTTGACTGAATTGTTCTGGTTTCTCTGGGGCATGTGATGGTAATAACGGTCGAAGATAACCAGGTTGAATAGATGGTAATACGGAACGATTTTCTATTGTTTTCCAGTAATCAGCAACAAATTTTAACATCATTTGACCACATGACATCAGTTGATCAGGATCCATTGTGGCTGGAATAGGTAGTTCAAGTAGTCTAAGAATAAAAAAGGGTACATTGATCCGATATAGAAAGTGAAACATACACAGATCGATTAAAACTCGGCATAATTTTAACATACAAATAACTCAATATCCAGTGTTCAAAAGCTGTAACTGTATATGTAATAGCAGGAGACATGCGTGATAGATAGTTCTTATTAAGTGTTAACACATTCGAACTGTGACGATTGAAATTTCATTCCATTTTAATACCGTTTATGATACTTTCTTCTTATTCTATGGGAGAAAATTGACACTTGTGTAACTTTGATATACAAAAAGAGCTACTTCTAAATTGAGACCACTATTTATCGCCCTCATCCTCATGTGACTTGTCGCCCTCTGATATTTGTTTGATGTTAATTAAGACTTCCTTATTGAGACCACTTTTTTTGTCTCAATTTGGAAGACTCAACAAAAAGTCAATAAAATATTGGATAAAATTAACAGAATATTCTGTTCTTTGATAGCAAAGAAACAGATGTGCAATAATGTTTTTCATATAATGTTTTACCTGGAAGATTGTTTAAATGATTTAGTATTGAACACTATTGACTATTATATTTTCGGCAACGTATAAAATTGGAATAAAAACAAATGAAAGATAGAGTGGGCATAACATCTATTACAATGATTATCCCTTTTCATCTTAATCAGACCATTTTTTTTTCTGACTATGAAATCAACAATTATAATTATTTTATACAAAAAGATGTCATTGTAATGTCTCATTTAAAAGTCTAATAGAGACGATCTTTATCGATAATAAAAACTTTTTTTCTTCGATCCAGTTTTTATGTCAATCATTCCATTTCTTTTGTCTATTCCAATTAATCTTTCTTGTTATCGCTAAAATTAAAATTTTTGAAGATAATTCTGCACAACTCCAGATCTTTAGCTCATAAAGGATGCTATGTTAATTAAAAATTTGAATTTGACAGATAAATATATGACAGTTATAATTTATGTGTGTATGGCGCCTTAGAAGTTTAGAAGTTCTGATTTTCCACTTTAGTTATTTATGTGTGTTCGTGTCACGTTTTCTAATCGAATATTTCTACTGCTTCTGTTAGTCCATCTTCGGACAGCATCTCGCATATTTATACGATCACCTATTACTCTTCAATTTGAAAAATGTGGTAAAAGTATAATATTAGATTACTGGCTATTAAAACAAACACGTATTGCACTCGAAAAGATTAGAGATAATCAAACAACATTTGATAAGATTCCGTGGTCAACTATACGAGAAGCTATTGCGAAAATATGGGTAGCGTGCAAAGAAGATGAAATAATGCGAAAGGAAAAACGTTATCAACTGCATGAAAAGACATGGAAAACAGGTGATCATTTTGTTCAACAAACATCTAATTTCGTGAAGGGACCGGATCGATTTTGATCAAACTACCATAGAGGGATGAAATTTTGTATCGTGAATGACAGATAACAAGTAAGGTCAATATAAATAATCGTGAACTGAATAACAGAGAAAAGAACAATGAGATTTTTACTAACATTGAAAAAGTTAAGAGTCTGCGTCAACTATTCATTTTCTAGGAAAAAGAGCTTTTTTATAAATGCAGAATATACAGAACTATTTAGGTATGTGGTTCATAAAACTTATGATTATTATCGGAAACCAAGTATCTTCACAACTTTACTTGAGTTGAATGATCAGTGGACTCTTTAGTATTCTATATTTAATTATATGTTCAGTTTTTTTATTTGCTCGTATGAACTGTTTATCAGAATGGTTTTATTCCTACAGCACACACGTGGTATGGCTAAGTGATTTGCATATTAAGTGACCCAGGTCCATGATTCCGATGACCGTTCCGTTGTCGGAACCGATCGTTTCCGGTGCATTTTCGGCCGTACAGAAAGCATTAATTTAGGTCTCAGTTATAAGGCAGCTCGAGGCTCCCCATGGGGAAATTTTGTCGAAGTTTCACGGCGCTGGGGTCGTGCAGTTGCAACCTCAAATGCGTGGTCACATGTGAACTTTTTATAATTTCCCACGTGTTCACAAATTCACGTGTGTTCACACACCGTTGGACGATTTTCACTAGTGACAACGTGCGAAAAATATGACGCGAAAAGTTTCCGTGAGCAGTCACAAGCGGAATATATTTTTTACGCGTTTCAGCACACCATTTTACAATGTTCGATATTTACGGGTGAGCACGCCGTTTTATATACTAAATTTCCCTATGGGTCCCGTTACAGATTAAGTGAAATCTTTTCTTGTGTCCAGCTGATACTAAAGTAACTCTTATCGTATCGGTAAGACTAGAAAATATTTGTTGAGTGCAGGACGATACAAAGACATGTACGGTGAGGCTTTCTGATTATACAATTACATTCCGGCCTTTTCCGTTCCGTGTCCGGCCAACTCCGGTGCTTGATGTGATAGTCTGTTCTGATGGCTGGAAACGACTACTTGAAATTGCCGAAACTTGTCATTAAAGGTTATCGAAACCATTCATCATATTCGGAGGTCGAAACTGGCCGGAAACCGCCGTTTTCGTGTTGGGCCTTGGGAGTTGCATAGCCAATGTGCCGCTGAGAAAAAAATTACAGAAAAAACCACCCATCACAGATACAAAAAGAAATCTGAGTCGTATGTTTGAGAGAGTTATACCGACTGTCTATGAAACCTACATTTTGGTACGCGGCTGCTGAAAATAAAAATCCCGGTTGAAGAACGGGAGACATTTTCTCAGTTCTCTCAATATTTTGACTCTAAAAATCATACTGACAAACCGGAAAAAATCGTATTATATACCATTCGATAGAACTCAATGAGCTCTATCGATGAATCGAACAGTGTTCTTCCTAGTTTCTTATAATTATCTGTATTAGTTAGAATCGTGATAAACTTTAGTTTTTTACCCTTTTAAGGGTATCGAGATCTCCTGAATCTTCAAGATCGTTAGGAAAGTCTTCCCTGATTAAAATAACTTTGTAGGCCAATAGTCTGTTTCTCAAAGAATTGCTTCATGCAAAATAAGTGCCAATTATGTCAGATTTTGCCCATATTATAGGGAAGACAAATTTCGCCAGACATTTTCGATACAGAATGTAGTTTTTGATGGAACCAAGCAACTTGAAGAACTGCCTTTTTTATCACGTACTCATTGTCTACAATGAAAATAAGAATGAAAGTTCGGGGTTCCATGAATTATTTGTTTTATAGTTATATGTGAAATAAATTTTATAATCTCGACGGATATTTTGTGCTAAAAAAGACATTCGAATGAGAGTTCAGACCGTTTTTATTTAAATGAAAACATTGAGAAATCTTTTTTGTATTGATTTGTTAAGCGTTTTCCGCTCTATCTTTTACTTTACTTAAAAATTTTTTCATGTCAAATGTTGGATGTAAAATTTCTGTAATGCCTGTAGTTAGTTCATTTATTAACTATCGTTCATAATATATTCCACCCTCTTGTACTGTTTGTATCTAATTATAATACTTTAACAAATGATATTTGTTTTTGTTGGATGGTAGTTTCGAACAACGTTGATGAACGATTCTCACAAGTAAAGGGTTACTTACAAGTTCGAACTTGCCTGCAGACCATCCCTTATCTTTCTGATATGAAAAATCGTTAAGTATCTTACTACTGAAGAAAGATCAAAGAAATTTTTTTGACAACATTACGTAACGTCGTTATGTTAAACAATATTTAGAAGAATAAACTACATGTGCCTAGAAATAACGGTGAGCGTATTTACTGAAGAAATATTACTATTTGGTTTTATTAGCAATTGTTAGACAATCAAATAGACATTGTTATTCATAATCATGTGGCAAACACAATGTTGAACAATTTTGTGATATGTTTAATTCTCGTATGATAACATCATGTTTGTTTCACGTTGTCATAATACTTTTTTGACTTCATTTAAAACGTTGTTTTACACTGATTTGCGTCAATTATCTTTTTCTTTCTTATTTTTGACTCAATGAGTCAATTAATTGTACAATAGAAGACATATTAACCGTTTTCACTCTTTAATTAATGAATATAGCAATGTAAAAATATAATAAAAACCAATTGACATAAAATAGTCGATAAACAAAGCAGCATCTACCTAGTACACAAAACCGTTTAATATTAATACATCAACTACAACATTAATCATTGCGGTAGAGGTGTGCAGGATATCCAATTATTGAATTGAAATAGTATGAAAATGCTAATTGTATATATCATTCAAATCATCAAATTTAAATTTGCTGATAAATCACATCGTCTTTTTCGTTTTTTACTTATTATCGACAGAAACGATTAGGTTCTCTGTTAAGCTTAAAAAACTGTCATTTTTCTATGTTATAATTATGGCCTATGTCAATCAACTGATTATAGATAAAGTAAACTAAATGATTATATCGCATCATATTGCATATTGTATTTTAGTTATTTATATGACATAATACAGTGTTTTATTAAAATGAAAAATGATGACGAAAACAACAAGGAAAAAGCTTAAGACTATAAATATACTAAAAAAAACAAATGTCTAAAGATAAAAGCAAGCTACAATTACTCAAAAATACAGAAAAAAAAATTACACACATAAATAACTGGGTTTTACGTCGCGTTTGTGAACATGCCTATTGAAATAATGGTGACTATACAAACAGATCAATATTCCTCTCTCCTTAAGTCTACAATCATTTTGGTTCGAATCATCAGCGTATATTCGTGATGTACAACAAAAAAAAAGCTACAGTTTAGTTAACAATGAGGATAATATACACAAAACAAATTTCTGATTAATTCCGGTAATACTTCTCAATAGAGTAGCTCTAAATATAAGCTACTTTTTCCACAAATATATAGAGAGAATTTTGAAATCTCTGTAATTAAAACAAAATAAAAGATATTAAATACGGAGAAAACATCAGTATACAATGTTTAAGTTATTTGTTATATGGCGTTTTCTAGTGTTTTATTTTGATTCAAAACAGACAAACGTCACTCTCCAATTGTGTGTTAAAGAACATAAATATCTTTTTGAATTCCATTCTCACTGATTTTTGAATAGAACTAATGTGTGTTTAATCATATAGATGTACCAGTTGAGACCGTTAGTGTCTAAATAAGAAAAATAATTTATTAACAATTATCAATTTGATTTTTACAAGTCTATTACTTTTGAATTCGAGTCCCACCTTCATAAAGTGTAAGAAATCCAATAGTAGTGGCATATTTGAATCAAAAGTTATTACTAGCACGATGCATTAAATAATTTACCATTCTGATACTTCAATTGACTTTTTAAGAAACTACTTAGAGCAAGGATATACTCTCGAAAACAAAAATAACTTTAAACAGAAATAAGTCTTTCTCGATTTATATTCTTTCAATCGAACGTATCTTTTTATTCTCTAACAAATTACAGTACCTCTTTAATTTGTATTCTTTCTCCATTTTGTTTGTTATGATGATTATCATAATTCGATGATGGTGATGTCGATGTTGCTGATGACGAGGATCGTCGTTTAAACATGTTTGATTGTCTATTGTTGTTAAATTTTTGTTGTTGATTAACTTTTTGAGATTCTGGTATATATTTTACTTTTATTGGAATGGTTGTCTTACCATTTTTTGCATAAAATCTTTCAAATGCATCTAAAATTTTTTCGGCAGATTTATCTTTTTGTTGCATTACATCTCGTCCACGTGTGGCTTTCTGTTTAACAGTGTTAGTTTGAAGATCGTCAGAATCTTCTATGTAAGTTAAATCATTATTATTTGATTGATTATAATTTTGGTTTGGATAGTGAAATTGTTGTTGTTGTTGTTGTTGTTGTTGTTGTTGTTGTTGATGTGGTTGCTGTTGTTGGTGTTGAGAGAAAGGATTAGTTATATTTGTCGATGGATAGCGATGATTTATTTGAAACGGTGGTTGCACATATGGAGGCATTGGACCTTGACGATTTTGCCCACCCTGTACTTGTTGCTGTGGGCCAAAATTACTTCGTTGCTGCTGACTTGGGAGAGGCGGAGGAGGTGGAGGCGGACCATGTTGTTGACTTCCATTTCCTCGTCCATTAACTCGTGCCGCAGCTGCATGTGCTAATTTTGATGCCGTTTCTTCACGTTCTTTTTTTGAATTTTTTGCTTGACGGTTGTCAGAGTCTGAACGTTGATTAGTGCCCGATCTAGATCTAAAAATAAGAAAATTAATTTGATTAAAGAAGAATAAGAAAGGACTGAGCAAAATCTGATGACAAAGCCGATGTTATAAAGAAACGGAAATGTGATTAATAAATAGACAAAAAAAGTATACCTTTCTCGCGATTTTGAACGTCTTTCACTTTCGGCTTGACGTGATGGACTGTGGGATTGAGTAAAAGCAGCTGATGTTGGTATTTCATTTGTTGCTTCCGATGGTGCACCATACCCACCACCACTACTAGTTGAAATGCCTTCAGTTCCGGTTGCTCTTGGTGATGTTTGTGGTTGACCACTGGTACCACTAACCGTTCGCCGATGTTTTTGTTCTTTTTCATTATTTAATTCAACAATAACTGGTGTCTGTCGTGGTGATCTGTTTTCGTGTGATCGTCTTCTCCGTTGTTCTCGATATGACTGTTGTGGTTGTTGTTGTTCACCACTTTTGTTTCGCATACGTTCAGTGTCACTTCTGACGCTCTTTGGATCATCCAATGATACCTTGTTTAATTTTTTCTGTAATTTATGTAGTTCTCCTTCTAGTGTGTAAATATGATCTCGTAATCGGCGAATTTCTCTTTCAGCAGGTCCTGTTTGTGGAGGTGGATGTCCCATTGGGCCTGGTTGCATTGGAATATTTGAAAATGGAGTGTTAATTGGTATCTGAGGTCCTGAAAAGGGCGGCAGTTGTTGCTGTCCACCACCAAAGAAAACACCCGGTTGCTGAGCACCCATATTGTTGAACGGAGGGCCAAATTGATGTCTTGGATTATAGGACTGTTGATGAGAATTGTAAAAGGGCGGGCGATTTTGATTTAATATTTCATTACGTTGTAAATCATCTTCATGTGGTAAAAGTTGTTGTTTGATTTCGGGTGCTAAACGCATATACCGTTTTGCCTGTTTACGATATAAATCGCCACGTCTTAAGGATTCTTCATATGCTTGATGATAACCATTATAAAGTGGTTGTCTATGAACCTAAAACATGGATAAAACATTCAGTTATTTTTTCTCTTAACTATAAAAATGACATGTTTCATACCCGCATATGATGCGGTAGTTCGCTTTGATTATCTCCATAAATATCAGTCTGTTGTTGTGACGATAGTCTCATCCATTGACTATCACCATATTCACCAGTACGCCGAGCAAATTTATCGTGACGTCTTTTACTCTTTTTCGAGGACGATTTCTCTTTGCCATCAACACTTTCCTGTTGTTCTTCTGGTTTTTCATTTGTCGGACTGCGATTGAATATTTGCTCGTGTTTATCACGTGAATTAGATTGACTTCTACTTCGATCTGAACTAAAACGTTGATCACCAGATAGAGTGCGTCGTTTTTGTTGTTGATGATCTCGACGTTGCACACGGCTTTCGCGATCAGAATATAAATCATCAGCGTTTGGTGATATACTGCGTCGTCTGTGATGTTTTCGCCCTTAAAATTAAAAAAAGAATAATGAATAGTTTCTAGATCCGTTTTGTAGATAGTTAGTCTACCTCTTGAATTGTGATTATTGAAAGGTCTATTTCCAACCGGTGCTGAAAAAGCGTCTTGTTCATTTGTGGGAAGCGGTCGAGGTCCCGACTGTCGTTGCGTACCAGTAGAGTGCGGATAACGTTTAAGGGGAACTGGCATCGATTGTCCTCGTGGTGGTAGCGGTTGCATCATTGATATTTGGGCATACGGCTGCTGTTGATGTCCTGGATACCCGAATATTGGAGTAGTTCCTAATTGTTGATTTTGAAATTGATATGGAGTTTGTCTAATATTCATGGATGGAGTTTGTGTTTGAAAATTCGATGAAAATACTAATGGATTTTGTGGTAAACCTAGATTATTTAACTGAGGTAGTCGCTGGTATGCAGCAGCCATAATGTTAACTTGTCAAGAAGTGAGAAGTTTGACAAATATTAAGGAAAATGAATTCTTTAACGTTCTTAATAATGAAATTAATCTAAAACAAGTATTTTAATTTAGATGAAAAATAGTGAGTACGACACTGATTTCAAACAGCTACCGTTTTATGCGACAATTATGACATTCTGATTAGCTTGATACATGTAAGAATAAAGCTGCAGTTAAAAGCAAAAGATATCACACCTGTCTATCTACACTGTCAACTAAGCATTTTTAAAGCATTTTTCTGACCGCAATCAACGATCATATAAATGTTTCGAAACGTCCAAATTATCTGATCAATAAGTGTGACAATCATCTGACATGCATTAATGCAGGTGTACACATTAACTGTGAGAAGATCTTGTATTCAAACAAAGACAGACAACTTTAAAAGTAACTGTTTATTTTTTCGTTTATAACGGACGCCTCATTTGAAAAACCTATCGCGATACGCTCACTTTTCTTTACCCATTCTCAATACGCATATGTACCGTACTATACAGAAAAGAATCTGATACCTTTTCTCTATGCCAGCTCTTTGTCAATTTTCATTGTGTATTTGAAATAATAATTACTTTTTGCAGTTATTAATTGCTACATTAGTAAATTTTGGTCACACTCATGACCTTGGAGAAATGAGCCAGCGTTGGGTTGATTAAAAAGTACAGTTCACTTTAAAGGTACACCCCCTCAATTTAGAAAAAGTTTTATTTTTGAGACAAACGTGGTGTATGAGAGAGTGATATGTCCTCTACAAAATATGATCACTCCGAGCTCTTCGCGAACTGCCAGTGAAGCGATAGAACCTTGTACAGCTTGTCATTTTACTCTAGAAAACTCGATTTTTAGAAACTGCTTACTTTATTTTGGCACTTGAGAGTTTTTTCAAATAGTCCGTTTTGTGGAGTGAAGAGTCATGAACAAAACGAGATAAAACCTCACTCTACACCATGTTTTCTGATGGAGTTATGTGCATTTTGCTGAAAGCCCTCAGAAAAGTGAGTTTCGTGTTGTAACGTTTCTGGTTCAAAACATCTTTTTCTACTGATGCACTCAATAGGCCTTACTGACACCACGCTCCTGAAAGTTTCATCCGATCAAGCCGGATTACTACAGTTACTTTAGAAGTTTCTCCAGAGGTTAAATTTTGTTTTTTGGAAAATATTGTTTTGTTCAAAAGTTGTAGAGGAGGAAACTCTTTTAAACCTTCGTTTTTGATTTTAAGAGGTCTATAGCACGACCCAGAAGCACCTTTTTCGAAAAAAATCAAACCACTGGACAAACTTCTGAAGTAACTGTGGTAATCCGGCTTGATCGGATGAAACTTTCAGGAGCGTGGTGTCAGTAAGGCCTATTGAGTGCATC